TCAGATTTAGTAATGATATGACAATTGTTTAGCATTTTATCACTGATTTTACATGAATTGCAATCAATTGTTTGATTGATTGAAAAATAATCATTATTTTCGCATTCAATCGCTTCACACAAAACACTATTATTTGTATTCAAAATACACTGAATTTTGTCTATTATTTCACACAAACTCTTCATTGCATTGAATTTACTCTTCATTTCAATCAACGAAACACTCATTAATTTGGAACACATTTTATACAAATTATATTTAAATATTAAAATCTAAACTTATTGTAAGTTTTATTTAAATCTAAATAATGGGAATGTAAAAAGTATTGCTCACATAATATGGCTGAAAATGGATATCCTTTACAACACGTGTATTACAATTCAATAACAGTATTGGTATTAATATCTGAAAACATGGTAACAATAGTTGATAAACAAGTTTTCATTATCAATAAGAGGACATGTTGTAAAGCTGTAAGCTATACTATATTGTACTTTTGTAAAAGTGTCTAGATAACTAACAAAATTTGACAATACTGTATTCACATTTATTAATTGTGTATCATTTTATTATTTAAAATGTGCATAATATTAATCAGCACAAAACTAAGAATAATGGTTATTTTAACTGAACATAAATTAATTCATGTAGGAATGATACAATTTAAATGTGTTTTAATAATTGTAACCAAGTTCTCGTACTAAGGAAAAGATTTATCATGCACAAAAATACTGTTCATTCAAATGTGAGATTTATTTGTACTTTAAATGAATGCCACAAAAGTTTTATAATAAAATAATACTTATTTCTTCACATAAGTTGTGTTCATTTGAATGGAAAAAAATTTGAATGTAATAATTTAAAATAATTAAGTTTTAATAAAATAAGATGAATTAATAAATTATCAAAAATAAAGTTATGTAATAAATTTAATTTACAATTAGTATGATTAGGCAATTATAGACATATTTAAGTTGTATTTTAATTATAACAGTAATTATCGCTGTCTTCGAGCAAATGATAGGAAGATCTGCTCTAAAGTGGTGTCACTTATGGTGTAGTCCTCGAGAGAGAAGCGGTGTTTCATGTCTTCCATGAGTGCAAACATCTTCGACCACAACATCTGTGGATCTGTTATGTGATAATGAA